TGTCTTGCATTTGGGCTTTGAAAGAGATGTGGTATCCACTACTGTTATTCATGTTTAATTTTTATTGGGACTGGAAGCGGGTGATAGAGGAATTTGGGACTTCATTCAAGTAGTATTTGGAAGCATTACCACCATGTTCCCTCCCCTGCTGCATCTGAAATACGTTCCAGGCTCTGGAAATAAGGCTCCTCTTACCGCAGAAGTTAGGCAAGCAAAACTGTAGTGGTTCTCTGTTTTCCAAACTCACATCACAGTTCAGGCTCATTGTTTCCTCATCCTCACCAAAAAAAACTCAGGAACAAATAAGTGAGAGCAGAAGCTGGAGACTGCCCAGAATTAAATTTCTTCCTTTTTGAGCCTGCAGTTTTCACATTAAAAAGAAATCTTCCCTAAACGCTGTAGCCACATTAGAGGCAGGCTCAGGACACAGAGGATAACATAGCTATTCCCTATAAAACTATAATTTATTTGTGTGATTAGTCCCACCAGCAACCAGTAACGAAGGAGCTGTGTGCTTTAAAAAGTAGGACTATTTAGGCAGAAGCAGAAATAGCAGTGGGACTATTCATTTCCATTACATGAAACCCATATTACCATCAATATGACAGAATCATGAATCAGGAAACCAAAAAAATCATGAGATCAGCTCAAAAATAACAAACACTCTGTTCTTTTTGTTAGTCCTCTGTTTTTTAATTCTCCAGGAATTCTCCTGTAACTATAAACACAAGAGCTAAGAAATTCACTTTTAAAACTGATGGCTGAGATCTTTACATAATCCTGCACAGCAGTTTTTTGAAAGCAAACCTCTAAACAACGTAAGATATACAGTAAAATTGCGAACATTAGCCAACTTGCCGTCACAGGGTATTTCCTATCTCAGCACCATTTAGAAGGGCTTGGCAGGGAACTGAAGCCGCACGCAGTTCTTGTTTCAGCTGTCCTTACGGATTGACCTGCTGTCATCAGAGGAAGTTCTGATGACATTTGTGACAACAATCCGGATGAAAGCATTCAGTACTGAACAGCTGAGAACAAGCGGTTGCAGTTTTGTTGCAATATTACACTGTCTTCATAAATTGATAGGAATAGTGGGAACGTTACAATGTTGGGCAATAGCACGGACTGTAACTAGTGATGGCACTGAAACTGGAAGGCAAAGCCTTCGGTACTATTTAGTTCAGGGACCAGCAGCTTTGCAAGCATTTTTTTATTTCTCTTTTCAAAATTAGAGGTTAAGCTAGACAGTGGAAATTCAGATACTTTGAAATGCTGGAGCTCACAATGGTGAGAAGCTGATGAATGCAGTGAAGATGAATTCTGGCTTTGATGTCAGGCTGTGGTCAGCTGAGTTGAAGCTGGCACCTCTTGCAGGCTTCTCTCTTGGGACATCATAGCTCACCAACTTGCACTGGTGGCGATCCTGTCCATCCCAATTCTCCCTCCACTCGTGAGCACATCTAACTATTCTCATCTAGCCAAATGCTCGCTTTCTGCTTCGGATGTCTCACAGTTCAGGGGCTTTTAGTTAAATAGCAACCCTTGCTGCTATTCTGATGAGATAATAGAATATATGGACTATTACTGTAACCTGTACCTCTGTCTCCCAACATACCTGGAAAAGACAATTGCTATATAAGCTGCAGTGCCAAAAGTCTTTTAATTCCTCATTTACTCTGGAAACTCGCTTCTGCAAAGTTTTTCAAAACTGATTCACAACAGATCTAACGATTAGAAACTTCACTGCAACTAGTTTTTATCACCCACACTCTGTAAACCCCAAACCTTCTTCCTCTCCTCACATCATGACCTCTTGTTTTTCCAACCTGACTTGAAACTGAAAACCCTGTTTGAGCCACAGTTGTCTCTTCAAAACGTGCACTCCCTTCCAGTTATTGCAGTTTTCTCTGATGGCTGCAGGGCTGCAGACTCCTCACGAAGCAGGCTTTCTGTCTGCCCAGAAGCACGCTATAGACAATACAAGCAGCAATAACAGTAACACCACCCAAAAAGCAAGATCAAAAACTAGTCTAATGAATACAGACAAACCAATGAAACATCCTGATAATTCTACCTTCCCAAAAAGGCCAGCTGTACAGCAATATTTTATTTGTTAAAGACAGGCACTCTCCAGGCTCAGATGCACTCAGTTCACAGCCAGAAGTATCTGTCAGACCATCTGGTTTGACCTCCAGGGTAGCCAAGGCTCTTCCATTTCCTGACTGCTGAGCTCAAGTGCTTCCTATCACTTAAAACACGGCTTGTGTTTGACTAAAGGCTGGTCTGGCACAAGGCATCTAAGCTGGGCTCAGAGACACCAAGAAATGGATACCGCAGTCTTCTCCTTGCACTTCATGCCTGAAGACACTCACTCCACTGACAGAAAACTGCACCTTATTTCTGTTTGAGGTTGTCTTCAGTTTCAGTTAATGTCAGATTAAAGAGACTGTTTATACCCTGTTTTTTCTCCCTGCAAAATAAGCAAGCTGCAACTAAGTGACTACTAACTCTTCTTTCTAATTAGCTTAACAGATTGTTCTCTAAAAGATTGGATTTAAAGTATTTTCAGTTGTTTTGAATTTGGGGCCTCTTTTTTTCTTTTTGTTTTTTTCTTTTTTTTTTTTTTTCTTGCAGCATTGTATTTCAGTATCCCGCATTTCTTTTCCTTAGACATCTAATTCTGCAGGTGTTTCCAACACACCAAGGTTGCAGGGCTCTATGTGAAGACATTAATGTCATTTCTTCCAGGCTTTCAGACAAAGTCTGTCTTCAAGAGCCTGGAGGAGTAGAAATCTCTGCGAGTCCCTATCACAGCTAGGGAGCTATGTGGCAGACACATGGCAAACACTAGCACATGAAGCGTAACAGGGAATTGGCAGGTCAGTCCAGTAATGGAAAGGGAGACTAAAATATAAATATCTTTCCCTCCATAGCCATCTACTGGAACTGTGATTTCCAGATAAAAATGGGGGAGAGGAGAGGGTCCTCTCTCTTCTATCAAAAAACAATGTTTTGAGGAAGATTTCTCTTTTCTACATGACTCTTGGCAAATCCCAGTTTGCTGTACTTAGAGGCAAATCCCAGTTTGCTGTACTTAGAGGCAGTCCTGCAAGCGCAATGTTCCTCTCTCAAGGGACTCACTGAGTGCCTGTGTCAGCTTGGTGACTTAAATAACAGGATATGAATACTCTTAAGATTACATATAAAGCCCAACTTCATTCATATCAAAACTTTCTTCCATTTAGATGTAAACATTACCTTATCAATTATCTTATAATTTAAAACAAGTTAATAGCTGAATGCACTGAAGGGTAAACTGGCTCTCATCATTGCACAAGGGTAAATAGCCAGCAGACATAGTCAGAACTTACATGGAAATGGAGAATTTTATTTACCTCCCTCCACTGTGAACTCATCTGTTCCTCTACATGCATGGTACAAACCATGGCTGAGATTTATTGTGTTACCAGTGGAGCATGTTCTATCACGAAAATCCAACCTCTTCTTTAGTGTGTCCAATCTTTTCTGCTCAGTCTGAGACCTGCCCCATTCCTGAGTGCATCTCGGGACATAACCTGACTTTTTTGCAAAGGCACCAGGACGGTCAGAGCCAGCCTAAGGCAGATATTGGTGAGAAGGATCAGGAAAAGTGAGAGCTCTGCCCCTGCCTATTGCCCTGTGTGGTGCAGACATCCCCCGGCCCATGATCTTTTAGTAAGTAGAGAAACATTGCACATGCATTCAGTGAATGCCGTTAGGAAACGTGTATGCCACATCGCTGTGATTCGAAGAAAGCAATAAGGTCCTAAACAATCAAACTATAACCGGCGGGGATAATCATGGGGCATGACGATACTCCCCAGAGCACTGGCTTTAACGCTGTCACGCCTCACTGTTATAGACTGATTTGCTTATCAAGCTCCCTAATGCTTTCCTGTCCCTTCAAGGTGAGGACTGCTAGCACAGTCCATCCAAAAGAAAGGATAGTCTCCTGAAATGACCGTAGCTCCAAATTTTGGCACGGCTTTGGGAATTTGATCACTGCCTCCCGGTTCCAATAATGCTTACAGAACAGCTCCCACACTTGTCAACTTTTAGTTTTCATCATCAAACAGAGGAGCATCTACTCAGAGCTACTCCAGTGTGCAGTAGGAACTTTTTACTTGGGTTTTCTGGGGTTTTTTTGGGTTTTTTTTTTTACTTTAGTTTTTTGTTGGTTTTTTTTTGTTCATTTTTATTTTACTATACAAAATTAGGTATGTGAGCTTTTGAGAGCAAATCTTGATTATAAAAACAAAGGGCAAACCTTAATAAATCCCTTTGACTTCTATATTCATACCTACAGTACTATATTCCTGAGTGACTTTAGTCAGCTTATTTAACAGTTTAGTATCTCATCTTCCCCGTCTCAGACACTGCTCCTTCTTCTGCACTTTGTACAACTGATGTGAAAATGTGCTTCACAGAGAGATTTTCACTCCATATTCTTTCATTGCTGATATTGAGCTTCAAGTATTTGCAGACAGGGGTGTTTTGGGGTGCAGAGTAAAGAAAAAAAGCAAACCCTGCATTCCCATTCAGGCTCAATAAGAATGGAAAACAAAGTTTTGTGCCTCTTCCTGTCTGTCTGAAAAAAGCCTAGCAAAACTACATAAACCAAAACAGTTGGGGACTGAACATTACTGGATAAATAAATTTGGAAGAAAAAAAGAAAAAGGCGAAAGAGAAACCCTTTTTGTGTAAGTAATGTAAAACAGGTTATTTTGCTCATTTTTTTTATATCTGCTCAAACCAGTCCTGATGCAATTTGTTGAAAACCTCCCTGTATTCCTCAGCCCATAGACAAAAAGTGTCTTGAGTAGTGACTTGCAACAGGAACCTCATCTGTTGCAAACACTTTGAGTCTTCCTTATTTCTCAGAGAGGAAGTATGTGGCCTGTTTGGCAAATGCTGCTCTACATGACAGCGTGAACTTCACAACGCACTCATTCGACCGGCTGCTCCTCGACTTGATCAGCTAAACCTTGCTGGCAGCATGAGAGCAGTATTATGACTACGGCTTTTTTGAGAAATACTGCAACCTGGAGTATCATGCCTAGCATTTAAAGGTAATCATTGCTCTGATACATTTTAGATTATCTGCATACGGGACCAAATGTTTCAATTTTATTTATGTAAAAGGGAGTTCTATTTCATTAACAATGACAGTATTCAGACCATGGATTTTAAGTGCCACCAAAGGTAGAAATAGAAAAGCCTGTCTTGATTCTTTTCATAAGGAGTGGTACTAAAGATAGAAGGGACAAGGTGTATTTCTACTGAAAGCTCACAGTAAGATAGAGGCATAGGACCTTATGCTGAAGCAAACTGCAGCTCACTATAATCCAAAATATAAAAAATGTCATAGACAGATTAATGGACTTTTTATTCAAAGTGTTAGAAGTTTGCATAATGTGCGATTTCTCTGTTGTTTCGTGGTTGCATGTTTCTGTGAATTACGTTGATTACAGCATTCCAGTGTTCTTTCTAAGTGCAAAGGTACAAGTGCGTAAAAGCTAAAAGGATGCTCACTGTGATTAATGACAAATTAAGGGAAATCCAGCAAAAAATATACAGCTTCTGAAATCTAAGCTGCTTTTTTTCCCCCACATGAAAAATAACAGGATGCTGGTGCTTTCATTTTCAAGCTAAATGGGATTCAGACATTACCTGTGAATCTTATTGAGAATTAAATTCTAATACCTTGGCGGTATAGCTGTGAATATCAGGTAACACAAATAAAATACGGTATAGCATCTCAGGAATGATGAATGTCCTATTTTACTAGTCTGCAGCGTCCCTTGCAAAGGGGCTTTACTCAGGTGCTTATCTTGCCTTTTTATTTCTCGTATTATTTTCATTTCTTTATATTTACTATTTCTCAATCATTTTAAATATAACTTTGAAAAAGTTCTTACAAAGCAATGGACTTTCCTATGTGCCGTTCTATTTAACTGCTCCAGAAGCTCATTTTCTCAGAGAACAAATTCTGCGAGAGGAAATTATTGCTACATGTGCTGCACACAGGAACAGAAGGTGTAAATTGTACCACAGGTTTTTGGGACCCACAATTTAGGTCAGTGAGATTCCAGTCTTGACAGGTGAAGAGTTCACATCTGCTGAGAGGTCTGCCATTGTTAAATAAAGCAGGACTGGGGCTGTAGATGGTTCCTCACTTTCCTTTTGGCAGCAAAAATAAAGCAGTAAAGATATTAAACCCCACTAGCTGTGTGTTTGTGAACAGCTATGGCTGCAGCGACAGGCTTTCGTTAAACACCATGTGCACAAGTGAAAAGGGAAGGGGAGGAAGGACCAAAGCTTGGAAGACTGCAAATGTGATCTGAACGGTTAAAATTAAATTTCCACACAAGCCTGAGGAGGTGGCCTATGAGCGGGGAGAGCTGCAGGTAGAGTTTGGTTTGCAGCCCAGCAGCACAGCGGTTCCTCTGAGTTGAACAGCAGCTGCTCTCCTCCACGCAGAGCTTTAGGTTGATAAGACAAGGTGAGCTTAGAGTCTATCACCTCTCCGTAGTTCTTCCCAAATGACCCTCAGTGAACGATTTTCTTTGGATCTGGCATAATTAGCTGCTCTTATGACAGAGGGATGCCACCTCTACTCGTATCCCAAACGCTGTTACCAAGTTTAAGTGAGATGCAGTGCCTGGAGCAGATTCGCCATTCCGAAGGAATATCATCTATAAAACTGCTATTGACTTTAATGATTAAAAAATCAGCTCAGTCACAAGATGCTCTACAGTTTCCTGTAAGTCTGTTTTTGCAGAGTATCTCAAAATTTCAGAAAACCACCATACAGTTTATCATGCAGCAATTCAATGGATTCGTATTGCGCTGCCAATACTTGAAGCAAACTCAAGCTACTGAAGTCATTAATTCTGTCACGCACTTGAGAGACACGTGCACTGTTGGTCTAGAAATACTTAGGATACTAATTCATACACTCTTACTCTAAAAACAGTGATACGTCATCGCCAGCGAGTAAGTAGAAACAATCTTCTGCCCCCTCCATATCAAATAAAATTTCGATTTCTTCCATTTCCATCGCATTTTCAAATGTCTGGGAGTTGAAAAGGACCTCAGGGCATTCACTGCACCACCTTTGACTGGACTATAGGCACCTTTACTCTGCCCGAATGCATAATGACAAGTGTCCTTGGTGGGAAAACCTAGTCTGATATCTGTCATTTTCCTTTTAATCACTTCGGATAAGGGAATCGACAGTGGTCACAGCTTTCCATTTGCTTATTTTTATTGAACACTTCTGCCACGACTCCAGAGAACATCTTGAACTCTCTGCCCTTTTCAAGACTTTATGCTGCCACCAATGGCAATTAGTGATGGTAAAACTTAGCACGGAAAATGTAATGAGCAAACTGTCACGCTAGTGACGTCAAAGTCCAAAATGCCATTGCACTTCACTGTTACCGTAAGTACTATATAACATTTGTATTTTCCCTAAGTCAGATTCTTTCACCTCTAAAAGTAGCAGCACTGGGCTGCACGCTCTGTCCCATTGACTTCAGAGGTTCTCTGAGAAGAGCAAGGTCATATAAAGCGATGATTTGTATGGCAGAAGAGAGCCAGGCCGGTTTTGGACGTGCTCTGCAAAAATACGAAGGAGGCACATGCCAATCGCCCAGTACTTAATCCAACTGGAGAGCAAGTGCTTTAATTACAAACTACATCTGAGCAAACCTTCAAAAACATGTCAGGTATTTTTAAAGCAATGTTTCAAGTCTAGACCCCTAAATACCATCTAGGAAAATGAAGGTGTCTTGCTCAAATGTGCCGTGCTTTTAGAAAGTTTATGTAAGTTAAAGTTTTCAAAGCCTTTCCATTGTGTACAAATGCTACGTATCACTTTCCAAAGTGACTCAGGCACACCTGAAAATTGTACCCGCTGTATCTTAAGAGTAGGGAAAAAGCCCTTGAAAGCACTCTGTCACGAGTCTGATCACTAGTAGGACGACTTGGTCTCCTATTTGGCCCTTAAATACCAAGACCCAGAATAAAGGGGTACGTAGAGGTAGGACTCTATTATTTTTATTTTTCCATACTTTTTGTGACACAAAATTCAAGTACTATTCTAATCTAAGTAACAGTCACATGTGTTAAAATTATAGATGGGCATATTTATGCTGCCATGCTTGGCACCTGTCTGGAATTGTGCAAAATTTTTGGTAACCGCAGCTTGCTTACTGTACACGTAGCCAGATTTGAACTGCCCTTTTTAAGTCCTGAAAAATGCAGCTACTAGAGCACAGAGCTCAGCAGAGGTTATCTGTCCAGGTATTCATCCTACTTCTCTGGCTGAGTTTTTCAGTCCTGTTGAGCCCTCTATTGCCATGCCCAGGAAATTTTGCTGGCTAATCAGAAAACGAGCCAGGAACATCTATAATAACTGTAGCCAAAGTACGGGCTGCGCTATTCCTCTCCCTATACCTCTGATTCTTGATGGGGTACAACTGAGAAAAACATTGAAGAAATTAAAATTGTGTCTTGTGAAAAAAATATTCATAGTTAGTTCATGAAATTAAAATCTTGCAAGTAGACAGTGACTGACAAAATGAATTCTGATTTCAGTTTTAGAAACTTAAGTGCATTTAGATGGAGAATGATTTTGTTTGCTATCAAGAGAGACCCTTTTTTTTCAAATGTAAATATCCAAATAGTTTATTTAAATTTAAGGCTACTTTTTTATTCAGCTTCTAGACTTCTTGTATCAGGCAGCAAAACAGGTTTTTGTCCTTGTGAAAGCAGATTTCAGACGCTTGTCAGAAAGACACTGGCACAGCTGCATCCTACAGATGTGCCACAAGCTAGTTCCTGAGCGCAGGCAGGGAAAGGGTAATGTGCCATTTGGCCGGTGAAATAGAGACTTCTCGCAAAGAGCTTTTGGGAACAAGCACTAAGAAGGTTGAAAATCAGATGAGGCGGAGTCAAACTGTGCATTACCATCTGTTTTAGCACTGATCTACTTGCATCTGATAAGAGACAAATTCTGTCCTTTTGAACGGCATTTTTTTCTGTAGATTTCTCCCTAAACTTGCTGTAAGACATCGAAATTTTATGGTATTAAGCAATATACTCAATTCTGCCAATTTTCTTCTGAAAGGCAACTAGTAACAAAGTCTCACTGATTTCAGCAGTGCTGCTTCTCAAGTTAGACACCTCTCCATGTAACACCATGAGGCTCTGTTGTAAATAAAGAGCAGCATACCAAAGGCAGTAATCATCTTTGAAATATTTAAGCTAGAAAAGACTGAAAGATGCAGAATACCCACACGATGCTGCTAGAGCTCCTGTTACCATTTTCACTGGGTAACTGACAGAAATATATTTTTTAAAAATAATTACCTATCAGCTAGTGGTGGTGTTTTGCTTTAATGTACAATTTCAAACAGATATAGCTGATTCTCCTCTGCCTCTGAAAATATACCATAGCATGAGACACCTCCCACATCCAAAGGGTTTTTCTCTCTCTCCTCTATCAGGGAGAATTAGGACGGGTGCAGTAAAGCCATGAGAAGGAACTGTCCCTCTCACAATATTTAGTTTCATTGCCTGATAATGTTTCCCGTACATCCACAAAGACTTTTTAAGACAAGTATCTGAGGAATTTGCACCACCGGTTTTGAGACCAAACACTTTGGGGCAAGGTGTTACTTAAAAAAAAGAGGAAAAACATCATTGCCCACATTTGCTGAGGGCACAACTGCATCAGAAAAAACCCCCGCCGATCAACGTTCTTAGTGTTCGTCAATAAAGCGTCATAATATACTGTGAAATACACAGCGCTGAAAACCAGATACGTCAATCTAATTAATTTCTTTGTAGCTTCAGAACTCCAAATGCTGAAAAGAACATTTTGTATATGAAATGACTGTATGGGCATGGCTTTGCTGTGACTTCCTATTGTGCTGAGGTGCTGGTAATGGAAACTTTTACTACATTGCGTTCTTCTGAGCAACTTCCCTAGCTGTGGTTTTCTGCTATTCCCCTGATAAAAGCACCAAAGTGGTGAGAGTGTAGCAAGTATGTAAAACTCTCACATGAGTTTGACACAAGAGTTCTTAAAAGAAAAACCATATAGAATTGGAGACACCCAAACTAGGTCATTTCTCATCTGTTGGCACAGCAGGTGTTATTCTGATGTTTAATTTCAATGTCTCCTTTGATTTAGTTCTGAAGAGCTTTGACGGAATTAGAGAGCGCAATGGGAAATACTGTGAAAACACCGAGAGCCTCTGAAGAAACAAATGTGCCAAGCCAAACGGGTAAGCACTCATTTAATTTCTTTCAAGAGAAAAAGATGTTCAAAATATATGGTACATTCATCCATGTGTCTTCTTTCATCTGCCAGACGTAGTCAGTGACTGCTGTAGGAGAAGGAGGGCATCCTCTAGGCAGTGCTTATTTTTAGGTACGTTCTAGCTAATTTTCCAAGAAGTACTTTAATTAAAAAATCCAAACTTAAAACTATTATTTGCTGGTGCTCCTTGAAAGATCTGCCTTCCAGTTCAGAAAGCACCGTAGCACTACTTCAGAAACCAGAAATAGTGTATTTTGACATCCTTGCATGTGATACTTTATACAAATTTGTTCTTGAAATTTGGGTTTGCTTCATGTAAGGTTAAAAGCCTTAATAATGTTAGGCTTGCACTGAACCTGAAGTCCACTGTTAGGCAGTTGCATTAAAAGTAGCACACAGCCAACTTGTCACCAGGTTTATCAATAAAGGAAATACACATTTCACAGGCCAAGCTGCTGAAGGGGCATCTAACTCATCTGCCCTCTGCATCCACACATGAAAAAATCAGGTTGCAAAGGCCCCACCATAGGCTAGTAGAGGTCATGCATCTGAAGGGGGAAAGGAAGAGGGATTCGGGGAGCTGCTACTCCCAAACTGCCAGCGAGCAGGTGGAGAGTAAGTACAGCCTCATGCCACAAGACAACAGACAGCTGGTACAAGAGCTGCAATAAATCACTCCCCAAAGGTGAGGAAGAGAAAACAGTTTTGATTTTTTGTTTTCGGTTTTGTTTTTTTTTTTTTTCAAGGGGGGAGGTGTTAATCAAAATTTTGAGTTTTTCCATGAAGTATGGCCCATTTGTGTTGCTCAGTATTGTAAGGATAGGGAATCAGCCTGATTTCATTAGTGCTGGAAAGAAACTCAGCTCTGCTTTTAGCATGGCCAAGAACTAGCTGATACAGGCAGCTGTGTAGTCCTAGCTCCTAATAAAGCAGAGACTGAACACTGTTAATGGCTGTTCAGAGGCCCATAACATAAACTGACAAATTATTTTTTCTGTGCAGAGTGTCTTATGTTGATATTCCCAACAAATGCTGTCAGGAATACCATAACCATCAAAACAGAGACATGCACGCACTCAGAGCACGACCTCACTGATGAGGAGGGGAGTGAGGGGTCGCTGCCATGGCTGTGACCAAGTTTGTATTATTCCTGCACATGCTAAAAATCAGGATTTAGCAGGGCTAAATCCAACTGCATCCCTTCCACTGATGTAAATAGAATATACCCCTAAAACAAAACAGCAAACATTCATAGCAGAGCGATTGCAAGGGGAAATTATCCATTTAGGAATTCAAGGCTCTATCTACTTGCACTCTCCTACACGTCTAGCACATATAGAAAGGTGCTTTGTCAGATCCTGCCTGACCTTCTGCTCCCACTTGGGGAGGGAACAAGTCTCCCTCAGCTACAGTGGCATCTGCCAAGGCTGTAGGGATGTCTCGGATACTCACATAGCTGAAATTGCACTGGCTACCTATGTTTAAGCACCCAAAGGCAGCTTTTTGGCCACAAAAGTCATCAGAGGGGTGGAACATGTCTCCTGTGGTGAAAGGCGGAGAGAGTTGGGGTTACTCAGCCTGGAGAAGAGAAGGCTCCAGGGACACCTTATTGCAGCCTTGCAATACTTAAAGGCAGCTTGTAAGAAAGATGAGGACAGACTTTGTAGTAGGGCCTATTGCGATAGGACAAGGGATGATAGTTTTAAACTGAAAGAGGGTAGATTCAGACCAGACATAAGGAACACTGGAACAGGTTGCCCAGAGAGGTGGTAGATGGCCCATCCTTGGAAACATTCAAGATCAGGGCTCTGAGCAACCTGACCTAGTTGACGATGTCCCTCCCTGCTCATTGCAGGCGGGTTGGACTAGATGACCTTTAAAGGTCCCTTCCAACACAAACATTCTATGACTCTATGACTTAACAGCCTACATAGCTCTTTGTGTGTAACTCAGTCTGCATCTGACCAGCATCTTTCGTAATGGCTTAGATGTTACTAATTAAAGTTGGGAATACAAATATCACCACTGTCATCCAAATCCAATGAAAACAGACTTTTGAAAAGGAACTCAGTACTAAAAGCATATATTGGGGTAAATTCAGTGAGTTTCATCTATTTGTCTTCCTGAGCAGATAAAACTCCAAATCACATCACCAAACACAGAAGATTTCCCTCAGGCCAGGAACAGCCACCTTTGATTTAAGTGAGGTGGAGGATCCAATCCACAGACTTACAACAGTCCAAATAGTTATTAGGAAAAGCAGGTTTTATAGTGGCTCATTTCAGTGAGACTGAATAAAATGAAGGACTGTAACAGAAGAGAAAGAAAGAAGAGAAAGAAAAGAATATCCAAAAAGAAGGGGCAAGAAAACAGATAATTGGAGTCTGCAGACTTGATCTGCAGTGTGAATGTGTTCCTCAGACCCCTGTAAGTCCCTCGTGCTGCCTGAGAGCTGCACTGAAAGCAAAAGCTTGTGCTTTCCTCACCTCCAGTCTTGGTCCTGAGAAAGGGAATAGTGCATAAGCTGCATTTCCCAAGGAGGCGTTTGGACTCCAAATACGGCTGCACTCCATCTGAAAGCACACTGTATGGGCATCCCTGGCATAACCCGCATCCTGATAACAGAGTAGCTACAGCAGCAAGGAGTCATCAGGGGTTGTGAGCCAACCCCCTCCTCTTTCCTCCCTTGGGACCTCGAATCAAGGGTTAATCCTTCCTGAGTTGCACCTGCATAACTCTCAGTCCCCAGGCTGGCTGGTTTAGCTCTAATTTGGGTACGCCAGTGCGACTCTGCAGCCACACCTTATGGTTGCTGCACAGCCAGCCTCCTGGACACACACGAGTGCCCTCCTTTACCCTCTCTGGTATACACCATGCCATAAATCATAGTATTTCTGCTGTATAGGAAAGCCAGGATGATGC